ACTTTACTTATTACCTGATTTTTTTATTTTTTTTTCGATTTGGCATTTCTTTTGGAATGTTTTCTGATAAGATGTAGTGTATCAAAGATCACTTTTACCTCAATTGTGCAAATCATATCTGAACCAGATATGCTTTTTTTTTCTTCGTCCTCCTTCCAAGCATTTTGAGATTCTTTTCTCGTGCTATCCTTTATAACTTTTGAATTTATTGACTATGTTATCCTGGTATTTGTTTCTCAATGTCTTGGCTTCAAAAATTTACCAACCTTCAAAAACATCATCATCAATTGTTCAAACTTACAACCACTCTTATATTACGTCACTACAACAAAAACTGCCTAGGGCAACGCGCGAAAAATGTTGCCATAGACTTTTCGTAGCATTCGGGTGCACGTTGTTGTGTTTGATGTTGCCGTAGAGTTCCAACTTTTGGCAACGTTCATTGCACATCGCGGTAGGATCTACGGCAACGTGCATTGAACGTTGCCGTAGATCCTACGGCAACGTTCATTGCAAGTTGTCGTAGACACTTTCCGCAACGTTCAGCGAACGTTTCCGTATGTCATTTTACATTTTTTTTATTCTTTTATTTGTATAATGATTTACATAAATCAACCATAAAACAAGATAGAAGGTAACAATATCAAGTAACTCCAATATTCATCATTAACTGAATTCCAAAATGTAAGAATATCCATACAAAATTCGGATAAACAATTTTAAAACTTCTAAAAATCTAATACATTTCAAAAAAAAAAAAAATGGAACTACCACAAGTCCTTCCATCTTCCACACCACCATCCTTAAATGCATATCTCCACACTTCATCGACAATTTTCTGACTAACAATGCGTGGCAATGTAACAGAACCTTGCCTCTGTAAATTCCCATTTCCCCCACTAGTAGTAGATGCTATGGCTTGAGTCTCTTTAGCTGGCCAAATGCTCTTCAATATGTCCTCCATATTCATAGATCCTCCATATCTTCCGTCAAAATTGTGTTGTGCTTTTCCTCCCCCTCAATAAGAGCAGCCTCTTTAAGTAGTTGTGCCGGCTTTTCACTCGACCATCCTGATGCAGACCTCATTGAACAATTCCCACAAAGAAGTAATATAAACTTTCACTGTAATAACATTTAAAATGAAAACATGTACCTTGCAAATTATTGGCATATCTAGACAAATCAACAGTATCTCATAATTTCACTTTACGGGCATGAACTTTTAGGATTTCCAGTCTTCCTTTTGCATTTGGAGGTTGAACTTTTATCTAAAGGATAAACAAAAAAATGATTGGACAAATCATGTTCAAGAAAATAGATGCATAAATAAGGCATATACCTTACGATCAAACCGACCCGGACGAAGAAGTGCAGGATCCAACAAGTTCATCCTGTTGGTGGCACCCAAAAATATAACACCTTTGCTCGTATCAAATCCATCTAGTTGCTCACAAAATTTATGGATACATTTTGCTCATTTTTCTTTCCAGGATGCAGACAAAAAAGTAGTTAGGAAAATGGAAGTTATCTACCTTCCCAGAAAGATCATAGACAGATTAAGTGACTACACCAGAAATATAATAGGTAAAAACCATTGAGAAGAAGCTTTTGATGGTGGACACTTGAGGATAATCTGTTATTTGCTTCAACTTGAACAAGCTAACACATACTATCAACTACGTGAAATTAAGTCACCATAAATATGACTGAAGAACATAAAAGCAAACCTCACTTTCTAATTTCCCAAAAACTTATCATAGATGAGAGTATGCTGAACACAACTAGCAACAACTAGCAGTTATATAAAGAATTATAAAGATTTCAGCTTACTTTACACACCAATGAACAGATCTAGCAACAACAACCAAACCTTTATTTTTTGTTTACTTTCACCAGATATGATCCATCAAAGGCTGGCTCCTATGGCAGGAAACCTTTATTTTTTGTTTAGAAACATTTAGAAACTGAGGGAATAAAACATTTATGGGAAACACTANTTTTGTTTACTTTCACCAGATATGATCCATCAAAGGCTGGCTCCTATGGCAGGAAACCTTTATTTTTTGTTTAGAAACATTTAGAAACTGAGGTAATAAAACATTTATGGGAAACACTATATATTAGACCTTTTCCAATTCCCTTCATTCTTTTAATTTAAGCAACACTAAGTAAAGAATAATATAGGCAAAACCTTTCAAACCTGGAAAGAGATGATAGCATACCGATTAACAAACTCACTGCTATATATACATTTCTGTAGCCTCAGAAGTCAGCATTCATAAATACAGCGAATCAAATTATTTTGCTGACATAGTATTACAAAGCCACCACTACCTCCTATGTGTATTTTCCTGGCTTTACATAGAAGAAATTTCATTGAGTATCAGTGGCCAATATGGATCAATTCATCCTTGCTGCAGGGAACAAATGTTATGAATGAAAAGGAAGGAAAAATGTTTTGCCCAACCTCTCTTCCATCCATCATCCCTCTAGAACCCTTTATATACGGACAAATGTAAGGACGTCCTATTACTTATATACTTGAGGGGATAAATGAAATGAAGCTCTATACTCCCAACATATTGCAACATCTATAAGCCCCACAATAACATAGCAGTTACATAACCAAAGTTCTAATTTGGTATCAAAAATGATATCTCCCTCTCCACATCAAGACTCTCTTAGCATACTATCTTCTTAAACTCGTAACTATCTTCTCATGCCCAGCTCCATCAATAACAAAGATGCATTGATGCAATGGTAAAAACTCACTGGTATTAAGCTGATTTTATGAGAGTCTTATCTAAATGCCCACTCTCCTTTGCTGCACTTTAGCCTTCTCGGCATCTATGATGGACTCCAGCAAATAATTTCATATGT